GTATAGCTGGACTAACCAAATGGATGCTCTTCAGTATTTGTTTGACGACTCGCCCGAAAAAGTTTAGACGTTGAATAATTTGGAATTTGTCATAAAATTCCAATTAAAAAAAAATTGTCCAGAATTGGAAAATAATTCAGAACCAGATGAGAAGAAAAGAAAAGACAAAGACATATGAGTACTATATTGCTTTTCAGTGGGTTTTTTTTCCCCCTTCTTAGTTAATGAAAAGAGCTTTCACTGAGCATTGGACGTTATTGCAGTCTTGTCTCAAGAGCTGCTGCCCTTATCCCAATTTGATGGGATTATTTCCCGCAGCGAGAGGTCCTCACATTTCTTTGAAGATACACAAAAACAAATCCACCCAAGGCCGGGACGCTATTGACTCATACAGCAAATGCAATATGTATCGTGCAATTCCACAAAATAGATATTGAAGGGGAAAAAAGAGCTTCTGCCGATCGCAACTTTTTATTGTCTGTTCAGCAACTTGTGCGTGGAAGCAACGCCGCCTACACTTGTGTACACGCAGCAACAAACGTGAATATAAATAAATGAGAAACTACATTAACATGTGAGAAAACGGGCGCAGGGAGATGCCACTTGCACTGTTTGAGTAAATGAAAAGGGATCGTTCGCTCTGTGAGGCTCGTATATGACAAAAACCCTCAATGCTTAGTTCACCAATTCCCACTCACAGTTTGAGGATGGCTGTCACAAGATTCGTCTACTAGCCACGCTTCTCCTAGACACTTTTGCACACCAACCCTCATGTAAAGAGCCAGCAAAACAATGACAATAATAATAAATAAATAAATAAATATAATAATTACACACACAATCAGTCAAAGGATCTGAATTCAGAATCACATATTACATGAACACAACAAATGACATCCTGACCTGAATAGTTTTCACCAAGCTCTGAATATGATTTTTCACATATTTTAGCTAAATTCACTTTATTCGACGTCACACACCTGATGCCATTCAAAGTTCTAATGGTTGATCCTCAAATAAAGTTCAGCTGGTCTATTAGGCAAACTTCAGTTCAAAATAGCAATCTATGTCAGCACATAAACTTCAAAGCAAAAAAAAAAAAAAAAAAAAAAGTCCGTAAAATCCTGCTAGAACAGCTGAACTTTATTTGGGGTTAGATAAAAGTCACTTTTAATGGTGGCATTTGAGTGCTAATTCCCATTTAACATGAGGTGGAATCAGTGTTTCCAACTCCTCGGTAAAGAAAGTAGCTGTTCTAAAAGTCGTGAGAAGTCGCTAAATGACGCCATTGCCCAATTTGCAGAATTGACTACATGCATGCTGTAATGGATGCTGTAGAAGAGTTAAAGAGACTTGATTTGTGCTGGATAGCGATGATAATTTTTTTTTTTCTTGTGCTACTAACCGTGTGCGTGCCCTGAGTAAAGTTTTCATTGGATGAATGGAATATTAATGAGCAGGGAGGAAAAAAAATGAAAGGCACAATATGAAATCGTTAACTTGTTTGTGCAAAGCTTTCCCCCCCCAAAAAAAAAACCCACATCTTATTGCTGTGCTTTGTGCTCTCACACATACACGTCATGACCTTTCTGAGACCCCCTGATGCTCTTGCACAAAAAAGCAGCTAGGTAATTGCAAATACAACATTAGCACATGTACACACTAACGAGCCGCGTACAGCCGTGAGCCATGTACACACAAAGAACGAGGTGATATTCAGGGGAGTGGAATCCCCCTGAGGGAGGCAGATAAAATTAAATAGCGGACTGTAATATTGAGCGCCAGGTAGGAAAGGTCATTACCAGACAAAAGTTGCTCTGGGGATTTCAGTGGCCAAAACAGAAGGTCATGGAAGTAACTGCGAGGCAGAGCCACTGAAGAATATTCTTCATCGAGCAAGTGAGCATCTCGCTCATGATGCTGGTCATCTTTTTTTTTTCTCTCAAATGAGGGAACCCATGCATATTTTCTATAAACCTTATCTGGTTCAGAGACATCACTGAGCTGAAGCCTCTCTCAGTGGACAACATGCAAACGCCACAAGGGAGAGCGTGAGCCCGGATTCGAACCCTGAACCTTTCAACTGTGATTCACAAATGCCAATTCCGCATCCACTTTGCTGCTAATATATGATATTTGTTGTATTAGAATGTGCTGGTGTATATTGAAAAAAAACAAAAACTATCCAGCTACTTTGGCATCTGTTCAAAGCAGCTCGAGGTGAGTACAAGTTTGAACTTTTATTGGATGCTGTTCATGAATCATGACTGCCCCCCCCAACACCCCAGCCGAATTCTCAGTAATATAAAACGAAAATCTCGGACTCGATGTAAATCATGATAATAAAGACACTGGAAAATAGGGTTGCTCAACGAGGCACATCAGGTAAATGGCAATAAATGGCAGGCCGACTTTTGTCAATAAAATTGAAGTGGGTTGGATTTGGATTACCAAACATGATGTGCTGAATACATTAGTACACTTTGTATCCGGACTCGTATTCAGGGATCCTCAATGGAAAATTAAAAAAGACCAGCTCAGGAAAACGTCATCTTTATGTACGGTATGCACTACAATTCATACCCAAATATTTTTGTCCACATTTTTGACAAATTTCCCAATTAATGACAGACTGAGATGTATGCATGAGAAACTTTTTATAAACATATTTAGTAATGTTCATAACAGTTTAAATGTTTTCATTTTCGTAAAGCGCAACATCAATAGTCGGTCTTTTGAAGAAATTCATTAAGCAGACAAGTGCAACAGTTTCGATATTCTGAACTATGGCAACACCGGTATGTTATTTAAGTGCTGTGCTAGTTTTTGTAGTCCACACAGGAAGGAGGGTAGCAAAGATTCAAACCCGGAACCTCAGAACTGTGAGTCAGATGTGCCGTTAGCTCACCGTGCCGCTTTGATAGAAATTAAAGTGTTCGTTCTCACGCTCTTCTTTCATCACCGCCTGCCTGCCTCACAACGCCCACTCCACATGCAAAGATGCTCAGGACGGACCATTTGATTGGCTCAATTCCCACCACAAAGCACACAATTTCTCTGTGTATTCCCTGTATGCTTGCAATTCCTGTAACCATAACGACCGGAAAGATGCGCCGTTTAAAAAAAAAAAAAAAAAAAAACTACAGTGCATCTCCAGCGCTAGTTAAATGATCAGTTTTGGTCCAAATAATCTACTACAGGTCTGGGCCACAATCAAAAAGTGACTAGAGTCCACTAATGAGGAATCTTGTTTTATTTGAGCATTGTGCTGGACACATCCTTTGATTGGCTGGTGATCATTCTTGGGGGGTATATTGCCTGAAATCAGCCCAAGCTCACTTGGGCCCTGAAAGAGGACAAGCGCTAGAGAAAATGAATGGAATTCATGGACACATTTAAACGTGGGGACAAGCTCGCATGCCACAGATGTTCCTAAAACAACATATGCTGAGTTCTAACTTCATGGCTTTGTGACAAGGCTTAATGGGGGAAAAAGGGGAAGATTTCTGCCGAATCATACGCGCGGTAATATGGATTTTCACATTGGAAAGTGAGGATGAGGCAAAAGACGATGCGTCTGCTTAACTTCTGGGAGTTTATTGGCAACCGAATTACAGAAAGAAAAGAGCTCCAGCAGCAGAAAACACAACAAGCTCACTTTGCCTGTCTTAGCAGTTGTGTCACTATCGTGAAGAATTTCTCATGCTGTGTGTATTACCAATTGGTGTGTGCAGGGTAAAATGACGAATCCATGCAGGTACGGAGTTGTGTTGGGTGTGCGAGACTTCTCTCGTCTACAAACAACACGATTGGTTTATGATCTTGTTAAATGCAAACAGTCGTAAACAAGCCTGTTCGTCATCAAATCATTTACAGTGGTTCAAACTTTGAATTTGAAGTCACGTTGTTTGGACGCGTCACAATTGCTAACCTGTCTGTCGCTCTCTCAACCTGTATGCCGGTCAGTGATTTAGATTTATAGCAGTCAAGGCAGACTTCGGCTATTTTAGATGTAGATTTTGGCTCACCCTGACTCTTTTCACATTGTTTGTGTGTCCTTGTTGCTACAAACATTTACATTCTGCTGCAGCACGGTACAGGCAGAACCTCTGTGCCTCTGTGTGTGTGTGTGTGTGTGTGGCTCTTACTACCACTCTGACGCTATCCACCCCCCCCCAAAAAAAACAATACATAACATTGTGTAATACAAAACTAAATTGTGACTGCTCCATTTGAGAAGATATGTAAATCTTTGAATTATTGAGTCACTTTTTTTGCCCTGATTCACGATCAGAGGAAAACCACCTGCTCTGCCCTGTTTTCAGATCATGTAATCGGATCGGGTCATTCCCCAGTTAAATAGATGCATTGTGGATTCAATTGTATCATCATATTATCATTAATCTGGATGGGTATTTGACTACATTTCCTTAGCGAAGGGGAGAGAAAATGAGTGACTGAATAACTGGTTAATTGTGACTCTTTTATGCATGGCAGAATCTTCCCGAATGTTTTAAAATCCTTTCCCAAACCAGTGTCAAAGTAAAAAAAAACCGTAGTGGCCTGTAGAAGTTGTGCATGGATGTACTGTAGCTCAATTTTCACAACTGACATCATGTTGCTTTTCTTCAGACAGCAAGCTAGTTGAAAGAAGTGCACTCCATTTTGCACTTTTTGCTGCAAGACATGATTAATCAACATTTGACAGAATTTTTAAAGGTGAATGAATCGATGAATTAATATGCCTATTCTAAATTGTTACTGAGGGCAAAATTCATTTTAAAAAAAAGAAAAACACAGCCACAGAATACTATTGCACAAAAGCCATTGTTTGTGCGTCTGTGGGAGTGGGTGGACATAAATGTAAGGATGAAGTGAAGCTTCTTGGTGAAAGAGTGATAAGCTCAGAGACTGTTTTGAGTGTGTGTGTGTGTGTGTGTGTGTGTGTGTGTGTGTGTGTGTGTGTGTGTGTGTGTGTGTGTGTGTGTGTGTGAACTTACCCAGCATTAGCCATGTCGTCTGGTGAGCGGGAGAAGAGATATGGATACTTCTTATTGCCACTTTTCCACCTGTCCGTCCTCGTGTTCTTGTGCTGTAATTCACCCCGTATATTCTGTTTTCATGTTAAACCTGTTGGGCAGAATACATTAAGAGGAATAAGCGACACTTTAAAAGTAAACAGTGTAGTATATTTGTATAGCTTGACATGGAGGTGGTAGGCAATAAATAAAGCCTGTGTGATGGATGAGGTTAGCTTTAGGCTTCATTGCCAACATTCAAGGTGTGAAAGTACCAAGTAGTAGTAGTATCATATTGTGCTGCATGAACCGTTATGACCTGCAAGAAGTGAGGGTTTTCTGACTCACCAGTTTCAACTTGAGCGACACTTGCATGATCCGATGAGATCGAATACAACTTTGAATGGCAGAAACTATCAGAGAGGTAGTAGTAATTTTACAATATGGTGTTTGGCATTTTTTGAGTTTTTGTGTGTCTTTCAAAAAAAAAAAAAAAAGACCAAAGGTTTTAATGGAAAAATTATTGTTGGAGTTTGCAGTGGGGTACAGCCACACTATATCATTTTGAACTGTTGTTTTTCCTTATTTGATTCGATATTTAAAATTAATGGATAATATACATTAAAAAATCCAAATATAGTATCGATTTGTACATTTGAGTAACCCCAACACACAAGCTTACACAGAACAAAGTGTGGTTTTGGCGGGCAAAGTTAGCAATGATATCGACAGCTATAAAGAGAACGGCAGCGACAATGTTAAACATGCACGAGGCCTATTGTTAGTTAAATGAAATACGTCTCTGACAATGTCAATCAAAAATATTTAGGTTCGAGCACACAGCTGGAAGTCAATTCGCTGAGACGTGTTTTTCAGATCAATGGTTTGAGGGGGGGAAAAGTACTAAAGTAGGGAATAACATTCCAAAGACGCCGACATTTTGTCTAAACTTTTGAGGACTCTTCATTATCTAGCTCCGTAAGCGCGTGCTGGTTGGAAACCGCTTTCCCCCTCTCTTTTAATTACCCCCAAGCTAATCAAAGTGTGTTTTGTGGAAGGAAAAAAAAACCGCTCGTTTACTCACCTGAGTGGGACTCACATGGCCGAAGAGTGAAAGCTCCCCGCGGGTGAAACTCAAACTCGACACGCATCGTGGACCGGCATCACAGTAGCAGTTGGAGCCCTGTTCGATACCACCATCAACTCCATCGGAGCCGTGAGATGACGCCGCGGATCGGCGGAGGGCTTCCCCGGCGAGCTCAGTGGGAGTCCCGCGGAGGAGGACGAGGAGGAGGGAGCAAGAACGAGGAGCTGTCCGGGTGCTGAAACGTGTATCCGGCTTCCTTCCACGGTAGCAATGTGGGCGAATTCTCACTCCAACGGCATAATAAAGACATTCACCGATGATTCGTGTGACATTTGCATCGCTCCAGTCACGACATATAAAAAAAAAAAAACACAAAAAAAAAAACGGACGAGGGCCCGTCAATCACGCAACGAGCTGCCCTCACGATTGTCGACTGTGGGGAGCCACGAATGTTTTTATTAGCTTTACGATCGCTAGGTCGCCCCTCTCCGTTGTGAAAAGCGTTTTTATGGTTTCCAAAAATAAAGATACTATGGGAGTAGAGGTTTTGCCTTCGCGGCAATTGGCTTAAGCGCTTGTCACTCATCGGGATTAGCCCGACGATGGTTAGCGCGCACATCAATCAATGGATGCTGACCATGTTCCACGCTCGCTTCACAGCGTAGGACCTGGATTTAAAAAAAAGCAAGCACATAAACATCTGACGATTTATTTTGTTTTATTATTTTTTTTTTGGGGGGGGGCAGATTTAAGCAGATCTGATTTTGGCACATCGTGTAGAAAAGTGCACTTGCTACCCAGACGAAAATTACACAAAAAAATAAACCAACATGAGACATTTCTTTCCCCAAGGAAACTGTACTCACGGGTCATCTGTTGAGAGTCAGTGCAAGTGCTTAGCAGAGGTTGAGCATTTGTGGGTTTTATGTATTTGGCTTTTCATAAAGTCCCTCTGTTGTTTTAGTTATTTTAGAATTGCATGGCAGGCAACCGGTTGCCCACCCGGTTAACAGGCCGTTAGAGCTCTTGCACTAGATCTCAACAGATACCTAATGGGAGCATCTGGTGGGCTAAAGAAGGGTTGTTACAGTAGAAGGGTTGTTACAGTATACTTGAGCAAAAATATTGGAACTCTTCAAAAGACAGCAGCAGATAATATCAATATTTAGGTGACAATGCATCATAGATACTTGTGGAAATTGCACCTTCACCACATAAGGATCACAGCAAACGTCAGCGTACTACACAAGGAAGCCTGTCGAACCTTGGAAAGTTTTACTGGCATTATAACACTCTGGCAGTACCAAAACAGTTATTTATTACGGGGCCATTTAAGCCTACTATTTTGTCTGTCTCCAGTCTCCACTTAGGTTGGAGGAAAAGCTTAAAATGCTGTACCAGGTAGAGCTGTCCACAAAACACAACAATGAAAGGTGTTGCCTCATGTGAACACTGTAAGGAAAGGTTTTTTTGTTTTTGTATATTTCCAGACAATTTTCAAATTTAGTGTAACAGTTGGTGGGGAGGTTCCTTTCTGTTCCCACTCCATTAAAGGCATGTATGAAGGAGTTTGGTATAGAAGTAGCCGAGGCTTATGAAATGCCTTTAGAAATACAAAGGATTATTAGCCATGTGCACAGTTGCTTCTGCCCGCATCGGAGTCATTAAAAAGTAGATCAGGCATTTACAAGGAACTTACCTCTCGCTCTTCACACCATGTGAGATATTTGCGGGGAGACAGTGGAAGAGCAAGTTTCACACAAAAGAAATCACCATCAAGTGTCAAACTTCACCTCCCTGGTACATTGAAGAATTCCCTTAAACACAGGTCCCAACTAACTGTTGTTACCCAAGAAAGGGAAATTTGCAAAGTTAACTTGGTTGCTGTCCAGTATAAATGGGAGTGACAAGGAAAAAGACTAAAGTTGGCATTTTTTTATAAGCAGTGTGAAAGAGCCTCAGTTCACACAAGAGCTCTTTGGGATGCCGGTACACGATATACTGTACCTGTAAGTGTGATGGGCAGGGGTCCGAATAGTTTTGTTCACACTGTGTATCAAAACTGCCTTGGCTTTGCGAAAGGAAAGTGACGTCTCCTCATTACAGGAAGAAAAAGTGCCTTTGCTAGATAAGAAACTACAACTCTAAAACTCAACAATAGCGCAAGGTTCTTTTTTTTTTTTCTTTCTTAAAGCAAAAACCCTGTAAGGCGACCCAAAATCTGACTGAAATGTTTGCAAAAGTTTAAGCGAAATATTTACATGTTTTACAAGAGTGCTACATCGCGGAAGGATACGATAAGAGATGATCAATGTTAAACTATTGTAACTGTTAAGAGGGAAGCAATGGAGTCCCGGCGGTTGCCATTAAAATGACAGCTGAAGGGTAAACGGCAATGCTTTCCAGCTCAATTGTTCGTTTTTATCCATCAACCCAAATGGACCAGCGTCATGACCGTGGTGTACTCGTGCTGCAGGCAGTCTGTGTCGGTGTCGCACAGCGTGTAGTCATCTTTGACGATGCGGTCGCAGCCGATCTCACCGTTGCCGAAAAGGCCGAACAGCGGAACTCCAGGGAACACCTTTTGGAAGGCGTCGGCCTCCACGTTGCTCTGGTTACTGTAGTAATTCTGCCCTCGGCCGACGCACGCAAACATGAAGCCCAGGGTGTTCCTCTCGGGGATTTTGGCGGCTTTCAGCCTGCGGATGGTGGCCTCGGCCGCTTTGGGGCTGCTGACGTCCTGGTCCAAGAGCACCGAGGCGCCCTGCACTTTGGGGCCGCTGAGTGCCAGGCCCAACACGCCGTAAGCACCCCGGCTACAACTACAAAGAGTGGGAATGTTGTCAAAGGTGGAAGAATACAACGAACCTGCTTGAGCTGATCAACTTCAAACATTGGCAGGTGATATTACACACTGGATCATATACGTACACGTACTTGGGGAGTGAACAACTTCAGATTCTTGTAATCACTGATTACAAGAATCGACTGATCGACAACATCGTTGATTCCTTTACAATAGTTGTCTCAACTCAAGCTCTCTTGCTACTTTCGCTACGGTTCTTAAGTGTTCTGAACTCATTCATTCAAATCCATTCAGATGCTTTCATGGCCTCGCAGACAGTCGGAACTTGTGTAACGAAGACCCATTCACAAATGCTAAGCTACTACCCGCTACAGTGTTATTCTTACAATTTACTGACCACTTCTAAGTATTGAAAATGGCTTACTCTCTTTGATGATGCAACATTAATGGTTCAACAAAAGGCAATTTGGGGGATCTCCTGTAAAGTGATGATTTTTAACTCATTCATTCCCAAAGACATATTTATATGTCTTTTTACACTCCACACGTTCAACCCCAGATGCAGAGATCTGCTCGTTGTTTCTTACCAGAAGCTGGTGGGAAAGACGCTTTCTACAAGTCCCCCTGCGATGAGAGCTTTGCTCTTGGCCAGAGGCTCCAGGATTTGGCCAAGGAAACGCGCTCCTCCAGATTTGTACGCATCATAGACAAACAGGAGGACCACCCTTAACTCTGGGTTGTCGATGAGTCCTATTGGCACAAGCCCATTAAACAAAATTCAATACACTTCGGGAGATGATGGTACGTTTGTAGTCGTCAGCTGAGGTTAAAGATGAAATCCAATATGAAGGAGCAGTGTTTACTGTGTTGTAGTGAAATTACGCATGTGTATTGTTGAAAGGACAATGATGTTGATTTAAGTTTTTGTCTCTTAACCACTGCTCAACATTGGCCTGTGAGTGTCCACTCACCTGCTTCTTTTAGAGTGCTTGGTGAGAGGGACTTTTGGCAGAAATGAAAAGGCCTGATGTGGATGCCCTCCATGCTTGGAAACATGAGAGCAAAGCCGGCCTCTCCTTCCTGATGCTCCTCGGGAGGTCTGGAGCGAGAACCAGTCGGGGTTACTGCAAACACACATGCACACACAAAGGAGTGAAAAACAGCAATCAGACTTAACAAAAGTTGTGTTAACCAGTGTTTAAAATGAATTGTACGAATTTCTCAACGTTGGCACCTCAAATCAATGGCCTCCTAAGTACGGAACCCAGCAGACCTCATGAATGTGAGTAATTAATTTTTAATTTACTGAAAAATGTCAACTAGGCTCATGTCGGTAATGACCCTGGGGCTCATCACGCACAGTAAAATAAGTAAAAATCTCAATAAATTTTACTTGCACCTCAACATAGACAAAGTGAGCGTGCAACGTACGTGTCTCCCAAGCGAAAAACACAGTACATGTTAGAGCTCACACGCGCTAAAAACATGTCTTCCAGATTCCGCAAATTAGTCACGTAATCTGTACATTTGCACGAACTCACTCAATATTCTTCAAGGCTATTTTGCTGATGTTTGAAAGAAAGTGTACATTACAGAAAACATTTCACATAAGGATGTTTCATTTGTCCCGCACGCTGCACTCTGTGGATCATTTTTCAAATGGCCTGCAGTCCATAACCAACATGCATAAATAACTTGTACTTCAGGCTATAAGGAAACCTATTACATGTCATTGCAGCCTTCATACATTGCCATAGATAATCCAATCACAGATTTCCTCCAATTGAATTAGAGCCACGGCGACCCCACGCTGAACCCCCTCCCCTCCCAGCTGCAATATCTCCAATAAATGAGCGTCACGGCAAACAGCCGGGGCCGCCATTAGGCCTGATCGACGACGGCAGCCCGACCAGCCATCATCCACGCCAAGGAGAGCCCCCGCCTGATGTAGAGTCACTTCTCTGCAGGGTTGTGATTATGTGAAGAAATGACAAGCGCGGGGCGCCGCAGACGAGGCCATCTATCACGGGAAGGAAAGGATGACCGAAAGAAGGCAGGGAGGTGGCAGCCCTTCTTTTGACTCAGTACCAGTAGCATGATTAATGCCGAGCCGTCTGCAGGAAAGCGGGCGATTCCTCTTCTCAAGTTGCCTGAAAGGTGTGCATTATTCCACCGTAGAATTTGAGATCCTCTCTCTGCTATTTGGAGAGCCTGCTGTTGTCAAGGAAATCCCATAGACGGCGTGACTGGTGTTTTTCCCTTTTTTGTTTGTTTGGCTATTTTTTTAGGGGGGGGGGCAGAAATTATGGTACCCAAATCTCTGCCTAGCAACAGATACACTGTGCAATATTTATTATTTTAGTTGCAAAGCATGACATGAAGAGTCTGGGGGCACAAATGATAATGCCCCCAAAAAAACTGCCTGTTAATGAGTGAACAAAACCACAAGCTGACTGGAATTGTATTCGAATAAGGCAGGAGCACAGATGATGGTGCTCAACGAATTCTGCCTTGCAACAAGGGACCATGCCTACAAGCTTGCTCAAGTTTTATTTTAATTATGTTTTATATCAATAATGCCTCGGTACAAATGATGGTGCCCCCACCTCAAAAAAACTCTCTCTATTAACAAACAAACCTTGTCCGCTAGCCATCTTAAGTTCTTTCAGAATAAAGAGGGGGATATCAATGATGGTGTGCAACAAATATTGCCTAGTAACAAGTGCCTGTGCCTGTTAGCCAGCTGAATTTTTATCTTAGTTTCCAGGTTTAATAGAAATAAGGTTGGGGAACTCTCAGTGCCCTACAAACAAAGCCTGCTTGGCAACAATTGACTATACCTGCTAACTGGCTGACTTTTTGCTTGAGTTCTGAAGTCTTACATTGATAACACGGGACCACAAATGATGGTCCAAATAACTCTGCCGAGCAAAGTAATCATGCCTGCTCACTAGGGTTCCTTTCATATGAATCAAGCAAGGGCAGAAATAATGACGCCCATCGCATTCTTCCTTGTAAAAATGCCTACTCGCTGGCAACGTTTTGTTATAGTTAATTGCCAAGCATCATGTGACCATGCATGTAAGGTTACCATGCCTGCTAGCCAGCCGAATTTAGTTGAAAATGTGAGGATTGGCATCTCCAGAGCAAGAGAAAGCAAACTTACAGACAATTCCTGGACTAGCAATGCCGATAATGTCACAATTTTTCGGGAAGACTTGGATGAGCTTCTCAACTGGACTGTGGCGGCTCCTCTTTGCTTTGAGAAAAAAAAATGGATCACTTACAGCTCATCCAAAGTTAACAAGCATGCAACAAAACACTGTTGTAGTATTGAATACAAACATTTTTTCTGTCTGTAGCAGTAACCTGGAAGCTTGAAGGCCTCGCAGTCCATCATCACTAAGACCGTTTTGGGCAGGAGAAATACTTTCTGTAAATACAAGTCAAGCGCTAGTGTTAAAACATCACTCAGTGGGTTTACCAAGGTAGATATGTGTCTCATTAGAACTCTTCTTTTTATTTATAATTCATTTTCTATAGTAGCTTAATCTGTATATATTTTGCCACTGAATAAGACAAAGCTTGTTTGTCTTGATGAATGAATAATACACAGTAATATTGTGTGTTTACCAGTAAATAAAATGGTTGCCAGATCCAATCAAATGTACAACATAGGCAGCAGTACCTTGAAGTTATTTCGTTCCATGACAAAGCTTACCAGCAGCGCTTCAACTCATTAAACTTACTCTCATGCTGTTTAGTTAACAATGTATAGTAACAGTAACATTCTTTGTGTTAAATTGTAGCCTTTACCTCCACCTCTTCAGCCAGGATGTTGCAGAGGGCATGAACCTCCGTGGTAGAGGGACCACAGGCCGAAACCCATGTCAACTGCTGTTGAGTTCTGAGCACTCGTCGGGCACAGTTGCTCCATAGCCTGCACACACTTTTGAAGTAACCCACACAAACATCCCGTTTGCATTAATAGCGAGGAAGGGCATTTGCTCTGCTGACAACTGTTGTTTAAAATAAACATACTTCGTTTAAATGGACGCCAGCAAAATAATGTCGTAGAAGTGTTTCATTTCACAGTGTAACACTTTCACTAACCCGAAACAGCCATGTTGTGCGCCTGTGGAGTTTGCTACTTGGGTAAGAAAACGTTTCCCTACCTTGCGATTCGTAGCAGAGATTTGGTCGGAACAAAAGTAAGAATTCGCTCGACGACCTCCACAACGTTGCTCAGGACGTACGTCGCCTTGTTATCCGACGGAGATGAATCGAAACCGGCAATATCGTCCATTTTGCCCTCTCAAATCGTGGATTTCGGGAACAACGCTGCCCTGCACGTCATTCGTGTTTTGACCCGGAATTGTTACGGGGAGGAACGCCAATATACAATACTGCCTCCTGTTGGCCAGGAGGAATTAGGTGACAGCAAGTGACGCTACAATTTGTCAGGATAAAACATTAAATTATTGCCCTAAACGATTAATTCGGAGTGGAATGCCGTTTGAGCATTTTTTTATATTCTTCATATCCATCTTAGTCCGAGTACGCTCTCTGACCTCACCCGTCATTTTGGACCTCCTAATATACTAACCTTAGTTGCAAACTACTGCGCTGCGCTGACAAGACCACTACGACAAACGAGTGGGCATGTGTCATACACTCGTACCCTCCTGGACCAAAGTAGTAGCGCCCCAAAGCCCACAGGTAGTTTTGTCGCAGAAGTAAAATAAATTTGTCCATCTAATGGGCAGAAATATCAGACAAGCGGGTAGGGAGGGTATTACCAGTATGACAGTCTTCAACTAGTGTGGACCGAATTGTTTTTTGCTGACTAGAACGTGGACCTTAAATCAAGACCATCGATTAAATGCTGAAACACATTTCCATTGTCCTGTCAAGGGTTACCACCGCGATTTAAATCTTTAGTTCACTCACTCAGATAACGCAAGGAAAAATCACCCACAACACCCCCACTCTCTAGGATTATCAATTGGGCTATTCCCATCTCTGATCAGAAGGAAGGAAAAAATTTAAAATTTCGGCCTGATAGTCAGTACTGTACGTGCAATTCATAGTTTTGCTCGAGTGAAATGTGCACAGGAACACACTCACCCTTAAAATAAAGCCATACTTGAAGAGATATACTTGATTTAACATTTTATTCATGATCTTAACATTTCCATGATCATAAAATTGGTATGACAGAAATCAGCTAAACAACAAAACAAAAAAGTGAGTTTGGTGTGCAAAAACTGTGTACATTCAGCGAACTGTGCTAATACCAAGTGGGGGGAAAAACAATGTCATAGATTTGTTTACCAGAAAAAAAGACAAACAGGCAACTCCAAAAGTACTCAACAGGTTCCTTGGCATGATTATATCTAATGACCACGTGATGTGTTTTTCCCTGAAAAAAAGTGCTTATTTTCTGAACAAATAAAGACATACAGTGAATGCTGTGCAGTTACAGAGCTCATCTACAGTTAGCTTGTATCATAATGAGGTCTGAAGAGACACAAATGTGTGTGTTGTGTTTACGGCAGCCATGTTCTGCTGGAGCCAGTCATGATGTTGGAGGTCAAATGTTACAGATCTCCCTTAGAGTCTGATCCATCAACTGCTTTAGACTCTGGTCCTCTTGCTTAGCACGATCGAGTTTATCTGTTAATATAGCATGGCAGCAGTTAAAACCCATTTGAGCACAACATTGCATACACAAAAGGGAAGCTCTAGTCAGGATTATACCAAACATACTTATAGACAATGTGGTTAAAAAAACCAAGTGGAAACCACAGGGGTTGGTATTCAGTAAGTAGGGACAATTTTAACTTTCTAATATTTTGAATTTCAGTTATAGGCAGGGCTGTGATCATGACCGCATGGGTCGACTTGATTTATTTAAAACAACTGACAGTATACTTTGTCCAGGAGCGTAATTACCATCAGTACGAGACTGCATACATTTTTTGCTTTCCATCAAAGAAACAAAAGCTCGGCTTCAGAAAGATTTCCCTTGCAAAAGATCTACTACTGAGGCAGTAGTCTCAAATGAAGACCCATACTAGCTAAAACGATAAACACTTAAACAGAAATTCAGAGGCAGCTAGTGGATTTTTTGGGGGGGTTGGGGTGATGTATCAACTATTCTTTCCAAGGCTATGAATTGTAAAACCTTGGTGAAAATTCACATCTCTGTGGGGATCGTTTAACATTTCATTTTGTTCATTTATTTACAATTTGTCCATTGGCAAAGCCGGCCGAAAGTCAAGCCCAACAAACTCTTAAATGTACATCATTGGTTGTAGGCATATTTGGTGCCTTACAGTATTAAATGGCTTTTTACACTGCACTTAGCAATGTGCAGTGTGCCATCAATAAACCCTCATTGTGTATGTGGAACGTGGGCCTGAGGACAGAATGTCGCATCGCGATGCACAAGGGGACGGCGGGCCACACCCTAAAATTGAAAAATGTTCCAAGTCGGGAGTGACATTGCAGTGATGTCAGAAGGTGTATCCAATAGGAGAAGGGCTGGCAGAGTGATTTCAGACGGTTAATAGCAAGACAGCAACTAGTGGGCCTCTCTCGATTTGAATAACTTTCCATTCAAGGGCGTCTCACAGTAAGGTGCGTGGCGGCATGACACGTGTCCACCCTGAGCCCTCGTAGCACACACACAGTCAACACGTACATTGACGTCATGTCACGTGTTTCTAAGTGCCGCATGAAAAGGCCTGTACTTCCTAGTAAACTGCAATGCAAGCACCTCCAAGCATGGGAAAACTTGCAATTGGACAATGTCGTCCTTGCGATGCACACCAAGAAAAACAAATGCAATGTGAATTGGATTTAGACAGACAGAGAGAATGAATGAAAACAAAAAAGCAGTATAGAGTAACTCAGTTTACAAAAGACTGTTACAGTCTTCACACCAACATGTTAAAGAGACCTCCAACCTTAGGTCAAGAGCTTTGTAACCAAGTATCTGCCTGGATCGCTAGTAAATCGAAAACACAGTGTCAAAAGTTAACACATTGAATTTACGTGTATTAACGAAAGCGCATCATCCACTTCGCGAATCAAACCCATTTGTAGCACCCTTTCAAGTTGGACGACTTATTTTGGGGAGATCTTACAAGCCTGGTCGAGTAGTTCCAGTATTCGCGGTACAGTTGACGTCGAACTACAACTAGATTTCCCAAACTATGAGAAGGGTATAGTTGCAACCATGTGCCAGTGTTTCTTTGAGTTTTGAGCATAGGTCAAGGAACACCAGGAGTGGGAAGTCCATATTGGAATTCCTTAACAACAGTCAGCAGAAGCATTGACTTTTTAATTTGTTGACAAGGGGGCAAGAGTTTGAAACGCATTGCACTGACCCCTGCTGGTTTTGGAGTGGAACAACAACAACTTCAATGTTCTGAGTATGTTCTGAGTTGTCCGTGGGTTCAAAGAGCAAGCGCACTTAAATCGTTCGTATTGAATTTCTGTTACGGCATTTTACTTACTTAGCATAGGCCCTTCCTCCAAGAAAACATGAAGCACACAAAAGAAACTCTTCAATTCAAACAAACAACAGTGGGGTTCATTGTTTTGCAACCACAAGATTATCAGCTGCTTTCTGCCAAGTAGTAGTACAGATCCTAATGAATGAATGTGCCACAGCCCTGACAGTAACTGAGAAAAACAAATATCAGACGCATTGATAATTTTCCAGTCTGTCTGACCTTCCGCCAAGAAGTCAACATGAAGCATGCATAACAATACGACTCCAAAACAGGTTTAGTTTTTTTCTCCTGCCGTTTGAAAGCACCCATTGATTGGATCTGTGCACCAGAGCTGGTTGAATATGCACATTGCATCAAAATATTTGGACATTTGTGAAGAAGGTAAAGAGGACGGCCTCAGGCCTCGTTTAAGGCTACACGTAGCTCGTTGGTGAGAAGACGGTTTTTCTCAACCTGCTTGTAAAGGTGGTCTTGACAGTTGGAAGGCAAGTGAGAGAGAGAAAGGGGAGACAGAAGGCAGGTTAGTAGCAGAAGGCAATAACCACGGCAGAGGTCAGTTAGTAGTTTGTACCATCATGAACTTTTTGATCCTTTTGAGCCAGCCAACACGGCTTTTGTTGGGGATGAAAAACATTTCTCAACATAATGAACTCGTCAATGAAAGCAGTCATTATGTTCAATACATTTTGTTTGGTGAAAGGGAGCGTAAATATTTTGCCAAAACATAAGAGCGCAGTCTGAGACATCTGACTTAAATGATTATATACAAGTAGTGAGCTCGTTCAAGTGCCTGAGCACCAAACACGTGAAATCCAACAACCAACTAAATCTTTAGTTATCTCCCTATTTCTATAAATACGTCTGCGAGCCATTCTTCATATCATTTATACTATTACATAACAGCAGGGCTAATTTCCAAAAGTAATCCACTGAGAGTTTCTTTGCCTCCGAGTGAACGGAAAGGTTCCCGGATACACCAGGGATATGGTGAAATTAGCCAATGGTGGCTATACACAAGAGACATTCATTTTCAGTCTGGATCCAAAGAGGGAAAGTCTCCAGCTCTTTAGAGAGTATCAGAATCCCAAGAAGTATAAAAAAAACACCACAAAAGTACTTGGTGGTTACGAGTCGTTTTGCTAATTTTTTTTAAGAGTCACGAGATGTGTAAGAAAAATTGCTAAATGTAGCACCAAAGTTGGTAATACCGGGTGAGCTTTTGCTTCATCGCATGCCCTAATTTCACCCACAGTCCTCGTGCAAATTAAGTATGAGTAGTTAGCATTTGCATGAGACAGAACCAGCACCCAAATGCTCCAACTTAAACCAGGGTGTATCACATAGCTGCTAAGGATGCTTTAATTCTCTTGCGTGTATTTTGTCAGAACAACATTATACCTTTGATTAAAGGACCCCAAATTCATAAATTGATGCGTTTGTCAGTCAAGCCTCAGTATTTCCAGTTAATTGAGGATTTAAAAAAATATATATGTTTCGCTATTAACACCGACTAACTCTTTACACTAGAATGTTTGGAGGCAAGATTTGTTTTGTATTCTACCTTAAAGGCTCCACTGTTTAAGACTTCACACCCCAACCGAAGTCCTATTCAAAATAATAGTCCTCCCACACAGAAACGGGGAACAGTGAATGGGAGAGGAGCTTTAGAGTTTATTCAAAAGCTACTCGACAAAATAAATTAAAACAGAGAAAAACAATGCTTGAATAAAAATGGACAAATGAATGTGAGGGAAAAAGGGGAAAGGGCTGACAGAGATGGAAGAAGTTTTATTTTACAGCAACGCAAAACGGCTCGAAAGGTGTGAATGAGAAGTGGGCGGTGGGAGCAGCAACGGTGGCCCAACGAGCACAGAAAGTGGCAGTCGAAGACAGTACAGAGAGGGCAGAAGACAGTAAATTGGCGCAGCGCTGCACAGAGAGATGACCAACCAGCGTATGGCTTCCGAGATGCACACATTTAGCTGTAGGGGGGAAAAGGTTGAAGAAAGAGTGATGAAAAGGGCAGAAGGAGCATGCAGACTGGAGAAATAGGATGCAAGCGTGAGGAAGGGAAACGGTTGCACTTCGAGATCTTCAACTAAAAACCGCAATGTATACTAATGTATTGTTATAAACTATATATAGTTAGTAGACATACAGTTGCATAGCAATAAATTATACAGTTGCAGAATAGTTCATTCCAGTAATTCATTCAAAAAGTGACACTAAGATGGATTCAACATTCTACGATAATTCCTACTTCATTTCTATCTGAAAACTAATTTAGATTTTTTTCCTTGTCTTTTATTTAGCTGATCATAAAAATTCTTGAACATAAAAAAAGGTTAAAACCGTGTGTAGTTAATCTATAAAATGTACAAGTTTCACATTTTGAATTGAACTACTGAATTAAATTAAGTTGTGCACGTGCAACTCTATTGAGATGCACCTGTACTTTTTTTTTTTTTTGACAAAACAAACCGACAGACTAGGTGACCGAACTGAGACATGCCACAAGGAGGAGCTATTTTCTGTTACAGTGGTCAAAGATTGTGTGCGTGGGTCGACTACTAAAAAGGACACACACACACACACACAAAAGCATCCTGTGAAATTACATTGAAGTCATGTCGTTGAGGGCGTGGTCCAGCTCCTCGCTGATGGCCTTGTACTTCAGTTTCTGGGCATACAGCTCGTCTACGGTGGAGGAATTATTACCAATGTGGTGGATCGGATTGAGACAAACAAAAAAAAAAAAAAAAGGGGGGGGGGGAAGGAAAATGAAATGAAGTCAGACAACCAAGGCAAAAAAAAATTTAAAAGGCGAATGAAAAGAAACCATGAAAGGGAGCGGGACAGTAATAGAAACACAACAGCTGCAGAAGTAGTGACAGATTCTGAAGGAGTCACAGAGAAAGCGTCCGGCCTGACACCTGCCGGCCTTAAACAGCCACGGATTGGAATGCCGGACACAGGCAGCACGTTGAGGAGCACCGTTGCCAACGCGAATAACAGCACGGCCGCACCCTCTTTTGTTTTTACCCGCAATAAACCGTTGAAACATGCGACGCCCACATGAATGAGCTGACACCGTATTATATTTCAAACAATCCCTCGTAAGACACAAATTTGGGTTCTTCGGGTGCCTGGTAAGATTTTAAATGAAGAGATTCGTACCTTCTAGGTCATCGATGGTCTTCTCAAGCTTGGCGACTGACCTCTCAGCAAACTCAGCACGGGTCTCGGCCTGCAAGGTGTAGGAAAAATATGTTGAAAGAGAGCAACTACTATTCAAAACAGCTGATTTTAGCGCCTCGTAAAACAAGGAACCACATTTGCGAACTGAAATGACCATGTTTGGTTCCTTCTTTATAAGGCCATTTGATAACAGAAGCAAAGTTCATTAAATATCACCAAAAATAGACATCACTCTGATATGTTGTTAGAGATTGGTATTATTTAAAAGTTCCTCAGTTTAAAAATGTGCTTCAACAATTTTCAGTTGATAATATATTGACTAAACCTGTGCCTCCTCACCTCCTTCAGCTTGTCTGTGAGAACCTTGATCTCCTCCTCATACTTGTCCTCCTTTTGCGAGTACTGTGGTTACATGCACAGAAAAAAATTGTGTCACAAATTCAGAAACAGCTTCAATGCTGTCATGTTGTGTCATTCTCCTCTTCTGCTGGCTCACCTTCTCTGCCTGAGCCTCCAAAGACTTCAGGTTGTTCTGTACGGTCTTCAGCTCCTCCTCAAGCTCAGAGCATTTGCTGTGGTTTTATTGTTTGGGTTGGAAAAGAGCATGACAGTCATGAACCAACGCTGTATCCAAGAACGATGAGTATTTTTTTAAATTGTGAGGTTCTTACCTCTCAGAGAGTTCAGCGCGCTCCTCTGTACGTTCCAAATCACTCTCGATGATCACAAGCTTACGGGCCACCTGAAGTCAAACACGCAGTACGAGTCAGAACATTTCAAAGTCTTCCATAAATCCTCCAGCTAAGAAACTCGCCTCCTCGTATTTGCGGTCAGCCTCCTCAGCGATGTGCTTGGCCTCCTTCAGCTGGATCTCCTGCAGCTCCATTTTCTCCTCATCCTTCATCGCCCTGTTCTCAATAACTTTCATGCCTCTGAGGGGAACACAATTGGTAATTTGGTTATTTCCAAAGGGAAGTTACAAAAACTTTTGGACACACACAAAACGATGCTACTTGGCACAAACTCCAGAAGACCATAAAAAACAATTCTTGGCCATTAATAATCAAATGAAAAAAACTGTAATTAGAGTGGTAACAGAGCATGTATTCTTGTGTGGCATGACAACAAATTTTTATATCGAAATACCATTCAGTGGGACATAAAAAGGGGGGGGGGCATGTCAGAAAACAAAAGCAGATTAAGCTCACAAGAAAGCAGAAAAGCAATGCATGAATTATAAAAAGTGCCAGAAGGAAGGAGGACAAGACTGAAGGCAATAAGTTGAATCAAGCAAAGGAATGAGGTGGGAATGCATAAGTAAAATGTGAGTTTTAGAGTAAGAAAGGAAGAAGGAATCAAGGAGGGAAGATTGGAACAATCCAAGCGAGAAAGTGGCTATGAGCGAAAGGGATGGAGATAAGGATGCAAGAATAAAAATTAACTCTTAAGCGTACAAGTTTGAGGTTAATGAAGGCGGTAAAATTTCAGAAAGGAAGGAGGGCAAATATGCATGTTTTATTGAAGGCGGGATGGAAGTAAGGATGCAACGAGAATAAAAAGCAACTGAAGAAAGGATGGAATGTCAGGATGGAAAAGATGACGTAGCAAAACTGTTTTAAGTACGGCGACTTTTGTCCCTCCCTGCTTAATGGTCCGTGGAGGACCAGAAAAAAAGGTCCCCCATTCTTGAGGCTATGGATTCAGAGCCAGAAGGACTCAGAGCCACAAGTGGTATCGCCGAGACACATGCTTGGGAGTGATCTTGCAACAGGCTATGTCAAGAACTAACCAAAATATGGCAAATAGGGGCTTGTTAAAAAAAAAAGTCATGATTTATTGCCACAATTTTAGCTCGGATTGTGTATTTGTTGATGCAGCATGGCATATGTGATGTACAAGTGACCTCTCAACACAAAACTCAAAGCTACTATTTTCTGACAGCCTCTGAAAGCAAAGTACTGTGGGTGTTGTTGAAACTGTATTTCAGCTCTCATATTTAAATGGAGCGAAGGAGTGTGCACGCACCTCTCGCTCTCATCAGCAGCCTTCTCAGCCTCCTCCAGCTTGGTCAGAGCCGTAGCCAGACGCTCCTGTGCACGATCCAACTCCTCCTCAACCAGTTGGATGCGCCTGTTCAGGGAGGCGACATCGCCCTCAGCCTGGAAGGGCAAGTGAGTCAATCAGTCAAGTGGGTTTGCATAAGAGCTTTATTTGTTTTTTGTTTTGTTTTTTGCCCTGCAGGACTTTGCAGCATCCAAGCAAATCTTGGGCGTGGTGAGGGATGCAGAAAGGAAGGGTGGGGGTCGAGTGACACAGAGGATTCTTTTAGCAGAGTTTGGGTTCGATAATTTAAAGTCTGTAATTGAGCCAAGCAGGTGATGATCCTAAGTGATGACTGTTTAGGCTACTTGGGGGGGTACCCTGTGTTACTCGTGGGGATATGCACAAGGAGGAACCCGTCGTCAAGCTAGCGTACTCGTTACCGGGCGTTTTCTACGCTAATGGTTAGTGGGTGGGGGGCCCACAACATAAGTGAGGACATCCAGTACATGATCATGAAGCGCTGTCTGGGCCTAGCCGCCACGCTTTTTGACCAGACTTACGCCTAATGCCGTCGGCAGCCTCAACACTAATTGCCTTAAATCATTAGCGTCGGCTTACTGCTTCCCTTGCGCTCCTCTCCAGGTTGAGTTCCCGCTGGAGGAAGGCAGCCCGGTCCTCCGCCGCATCCGCCTGCTCTTGTAGCGACTTGATTTTCTTCTTTACCGCTTCCAAGGAGCTTCCACCGGCCATAATTGAGCCCCGACTGATGTTGGTTCCGTTCCGGCTAGGCTAGTCTCGTTCTTCTTGGGCGCCGCCGTTGGACACTGGGCGAGATGCGGCGCGTTTGATCCCTGCCCCCACCCGCACTTTAATCAAGTGTTGATGAGGATTGGGACGTGCCATCGAACCCGGAAGTGACTCTTTTACCACGGAAATTATTTCAGGCATCAACTAAATTAAAATATGTAAACTATGAATTGTATGCATTTAGATGATATATTTAGTTTTATAAAAGAATATTGTCCTTTATATTTTTTTTTGACTTACAGGGACTTAATTAAGGAACGATTAAAGTGGGCACCCCCTACTGGAAAATTGAGCTAACCCAAAAACTGATCTATTTCAATAATGTAAACAAGCAAGCTATATTCGCGCTTTGGAATTTGTAAACACTATTATTATTGTTATCATTATTACTATTATTATTATTATTATTATTATTATTATTATTGCAGTAATATGTTTTTTTAACTGACTGAGAAATTAAGTGACATACTGACCAATTGATTAAGTCACAAATTAATGAGCTCACTGGCAAAGTCAAAAAAGACTGACTAACTGATTGATAAAATCACTCACTCAGTAAAAAAAACGGACTGACTAATTTACAACTGAATTGATTTTCAAACTAAATAATTGACTTACAATGTAACAAATTGACTGAGTGAGTGACTGACTCACTGATAAAACTGATAACTGGTTCTCCTACTGAGGAACCCACTTACCTATTGAGAAGATAACTGACTGTGATTTTTCTACTTAACCGACTAACTAAACAGGCTAATTGACCGAGTTACTATTTAGCCAACCCACTTCCACTCCCTCACTGAGTAAATAACTGAGTAATTTCCTATATAACTACATTTTACTTACAAACTAACTGACTTAGTAACTAATTAACTGACTTACTAACTAACAGACTGACAGATTAATTTCCTTGTGGACTGACTGACAAAATCAAAATTTGACCGACTAACTAACCGACTGAGTAAGCTGGACCTTATGTGTTTTTATACTGAAACTATAAATAGGACTGACAGATAAAATGCAAACTATATTTTAAAATGTCCCTTTTCAATATTCTGTATGGTTCATTGCAGACTGTAAACGGTCCGTATATGAGAATGTGGATCTGAATGGTGATTTGCACCTATTGTCCAAAGTCAGTTCGGAGAGGCTCCACGCCACACACAACTTATTTTTTGGTTCTTTTTACTATACTAAATCTTCAAATATATTCACAAGATAATATCTGAATTTTAAATTGCTTTTAATCACTTGAGATTCATGCTGTCAAAAAAGTGGTAGTTTTATAACTATAACTGTCATTGTTATTATTTGATGTAGCCAGAAAACTGGTAATTTAATCTGAGCCTTGACATAAAGGAGACGACCTGTGCCAACTGGAACAAGCACACATCTGTCAAGGTTCACACGGGTAAAACACGCAAGTAAAAAACAGTCTGGTGTAACACAACACCAGTACTCGGTTTGATGCCACCGCCTGTAGAATGCACTCGAGAAGGTGGTAAGTAGTGACCTTACCTTATAGAGGACACACTAAATATAACGTTCTACCCACAGGTGTCTTCACTTGATTATTACATTGTTTAGCCATTAATGTAGGGGAGCTGGGTGTTGAGAGGGAGGTCATTTCAAGGTCACACGAGTGAGGCCTGAACTCACGTCTGTGGCTTTTTTCTCAGCCAACTCCAGTTTTTCCTGGGCATCCTTCAAGGCTTCAGAGTATTTGTCCAATTCGTCCTCTGTCGCCTTGAGCTTCTTCTGAAGTGCCACCAGGTCATCCTCAAGCTGGGACAAAGTTAGAGATGTATCATTTCTACTCATTTACAAACATGCACTACAGCGTGCGCATAAAGCGGCCGAGTAAACGCTCCCCATTGGATGCCAACCTGTTTGCTCCTGTCCTCTGCCGCTTTCTTGTCCGACTCGGCCTGCTCAGCTCTGTCCAAGGCGTTCTCCTTGTCGAGCTTGAGCATCTGCATCTTCTTCTTGATGGCATCCATGGCTGCTTAAGTGTCGGTGCTTTGCACGTATAACCAAATGAGACGAAAGATGGTTGGTGAGGGGCGAGGGTCGGAGCGTCTGAACCACACTGAACGCCAAGCTGGAGTGCGAGCTCGCCCACGTTGTGACGAGTCAAATATGTCTTTTCGGACAGGCGGGTTACTAGACACCCAATACCTTTTTGGACACGACCGCGGCTGCTTGCCACGCCAGGGGGCCTATTTTTTGCAAAAGTCTTCGTCAATTCGCTCCGCCGAGACATTTGACCACTTGTGTGACCATACATGGGGGATGGGTGTCAGTCTAGCAACCTGTCACCCCCTCCCTCCTTCCTTACGCCACCAACACGTCCAGCCCTATTTCCAACACCCCTCCACGCAGCAGCATCAAGGAACAAAGGAACAAACTGTTAATAATGACCTAATTCGTCGCCCTTTTTGTGATGTCAACCCACCTGTGATTTCATACACTAAACCCTATTTCCACAAACACAGGGCATATAAACTGTTTACATAAACTCAAACACTTCAATATTAGCTGTATGCAATTGAAGCCAGCACAGGTGTACAGTATTTGCAGTATCGAACTCCTGAAAACATTCAAAGGAACTCAGTGAGTGTTAGAACGTTACATTTACTTCTTCATTTTGAGCTAGTTATGATTCTATTATTATTTCTTGACTTTATAACGCATTATATTTTTACACTATAGTGCAGCATCGGCTGTGATGTGGACTTTGTATCGGTCTGTCGTGGTGAAGAAGGAGCTGAGCCAAAAGGCAAAGCTCTCGATTTATCGGTTGATCTACGTTCGTTCCCTCGCCTATGGTCACGAGCTACGGGTCGTGACTGAAAGAACGAGATCCCGGATATAAGTGGCCGAAAAGAGTTTCCCCCACTGGTGGTCTGGACTCTCCCTTAGAGATAAGGTGAGAAGCTCAGTCATCAGCGAGGGGCTCAGACTCGAGCCGCTTCCCCTCCATGTCGAGAGGAGCCAGATGAGGTGGCTCAGGCATCTTGATTAGGATGCTTCCTGGACGCCAACCGGTGAGGTGTTCCCCATGCATGTCCCACCAGCGGGAGGCCCCAGGGATGACCCAGGACACGTTGTAGAGACTAAGTCTCCCAGCTTGCCTGGGAACGCCTTGGGATCCCCCGGGAAGAGGTGGAAGAAGTGGCTGGGGAGAAGGAAGTCTGACATGTACTAAAAAATATATACAGGTATTAGTATAAACAAGTTAGGGGGTTTTTATTTGCAGTATTATTTACAGTCGTATTTACAGTAATTGTCATTTATTTTGACATACTTTCATTATGATGAACATTATTATTATTCATTTTCTGTGTAGTGCATGAAACTGATCACTATCAGCTTTGTAAAAGAATTTACCATACAACTAATACTCAACTTACAAAGTATCAAAAAATATCTTTTCCTTTTTATCTCTAATCTATTAATTTCGACCTATCTATCTGTGATATACAGTATACTGTATCCATCTATCTGTCAACTCAGCCATTAGACAGTCAGGAGATGTAAAGTTGTGTCCTAGTATGTCGTGCATGTGAGTTATTCACGCAAAGCAAATCTATCTGATTAAATAAGCCTCGTGTGGACATTACTCCCCCTCTGAGGGAGGTGTCAGGTTAGCTTGTGACATTTTATGTTTGTGTTCGAGGGATCATTTGGGAAGCTCTTGGCTGTCATACTTAACATCCTGGCTACTATCGGATGGGCTTTGCTCTCCCTTTCGAGGATCATCATCCAGCTTGTCCGAGTGGCTTTCTGTGTTGATGCATGTTGAAGAGTCACAGCTCTTCAAATGGCCACCCTAGATGAAGTGGCTTTTGGCTTTTCAACAGCACACCCCCCTGTCACCTTGGGCCCATTTGATAGTTCACAGAGTCACTGGCACCGTTGCAGCTGTCTCAGACACACACACACGCACGCACACACACACTCAGCCCGGGCCAAGACGGCTGCATGGTGAGGTAAAAGTAGCTGACTGAAAACTGGTGTGAACCACATAAGCGGAAATTTGTCTGTAAATACTGATATTTGTATACAAATTAATGTATGACATTAGAAGCTCTACTGTAAGATGAATGAAGGTGGCTGCACTATACTATGTTATGAAATATTATATATGAACATCATATGTTTGGACTTGCCTTTCTGGCTTACATTCAAGTGCTGTGATGGGTGAATATTTTTGTGGTGTCACTGCTTGCAAAGCACTTGCTTAATTCGGTCCCAGTTGGCACCCGCCATTCCCACCCTCAACTGTCTAATATACATATTTTTTAATATAGTGTGCGGTAAAAGGGATTCCTTATCTAAAAGGAGTACAAGGAGCAGCTGTTGTCGGCCATAATTAAGGTGGCCTCCTCAAATTTTAGTGGCTGACAAATTTAGCTTGGCTATCAGTGGACCGTCTGGCTTGCCCACAGCCTCAGGTTTACTGCTGACTCAGAAATGCCATCTTGTACTGACACTAAAGCAACAGAAGGACACTTAAGAGCTCTCCTTAATGGCGGAACAGAACACAACCTATGCCCTCCACTCGGGCATGAATTACAGTGACATAATCATCATCAATTGGCATAAATGAAAGGATTGAAGGGTTTCGGATTTTTTAATTTTTTTTAAGCTTTAAAAATTCACCAGCCATTAAATTCTACAGAAAGCCAATTCAGGACAACTAAAATAAAATAATGCCAGCTGGTTGGGCTTTGCGTGTATTTTGTCAAGGTTTCCTCCCACATTCCAAACATGCAAGCCAGTTCTTTGTCCATCGGTGTGAATGTGTGTATTGTTTGTCTTCATGTGTCCCGCGAATGGCTGTGAACCAGTCCAGCGTATACCATGCCTCTCACTCAAAGTGGGCTGGGATAGGCCCCAGTTCACCCACAACCTGAATCAAATTGCGGCTCAGTGGGCTTCATTCTCCCAGTGTGTTTTACTTTTAAAAGAGGAACAAAAAAAGGCATTAAAAATACCATGAAATACCATAAGTAAATCATAATGCTCACACAGAGGGCCGTTGACACAATGCAACACTTTATTTCCAGTAAATACAAAAAAATAATTTTTATCGTGGCCGGATAAATATCTTATATATGCCATCTTTACTGTCTATCTGTTAAAGGTAACACATACAACATCTGTCAAATGTCTCACACCATTGCAATGGTGACAAATGTTTATGGAACAGAACTTAGTATATAGGCTATCGGAGGAGATGGGAGGGAAGCTACTCATTCATACAATGCCTCTGTTGTCAATACATTAGCAAAGGAGCTGATTGACTGACAAACAAATCCAGTTTCTATTGGTTTTAAAACCAAAGACTGCCAGATCTAGGTTTCACTATGACCATCTGGGAAAAGGCCCGCAGTGAAACAGTACCAGCAATAAGGCCTTTAAATGTGTCATAATGATGAGAAACAAAATGGAAATGCAGTATTAGCATCATAAAAAAAGGCCGTAAATGAGTCAGAAGGATGAGATAACTCAAAATATAGCAGACCAGTTTGCTCATCTCCCTAAAAGGCCTTGCGTGTCAGAAATTAAGACATGATAAACATGCAGTCCTACCATGCCCCAAAAGGGCATACACAAGGAAATTGATGAAATCCAGTCCTCAGAAATGCTTCTTTGAGAATCATGATACGGTTAAAAAAAAAAAAAAAAAAAAAAAAAATGAAACTTTTTTATCACCCCCCACCCGCCTGCCAAGCAAAAAAAAAAAGGAAAAACAAGTGCTATTGGTTGATCATGAGTTCACAAATTAGAATAAAAAAAAAACAATTGAATAAAATAGCGCAACATGTAAAAACATTTTTTTTTCAGGAGCGACAACATGAGCTATGTACAAAAAACATCAATCAATCATTTCATGGATATGCCGTGTATATATACACGGTATATTAAAAACAAAACCAAAAAAACTGTATATAGCGTCTCTTTTGAACACCCGCTTTAAAAGAAAAAGCAGCTATTGGTCGATGTGAGGAGGTCATTTTTTTAAATATCCTTCAGCTGTAGATGTGGAACAGAAACAAATAAATAAAATCCGACAAGGAAAAGAGTGATCTCGTGTGTTGTATCCTGTGTGCTGTTTGTGTAAAAAAAAAAAAAAAAAAAAGCAATGCAACATTGTTATCACCCCCCACCAAAAATCCTGGAGTCAGAATGAGAGAGCAACATCAAGGAAATGCAGTAAACCACTGCTAACATCCTTATAAAGTTTTTAAAATGTGTCACGATGTTGAGACTCCATGACATTGCAATGACCAGTTACGTATAGAAAGAACTTACATGAGGCAGAATGGTGAAAACCTTCATGAAAATGCAGTGAACCACTTTAACACCCCTCTAAAAAGTATCAAAATGACGAGGAACGTGATGAAAATCCCGTCAGGCAGTTGTATCATCCCCCAAAATGCTTTGCATGATTCAAAATTAACAAGCACCGTGAAAATGTAATGAACTTATCTCATCAGCCACCTGAAGAGCTTTTAAATGTGTCAGAAAGTTGCAACATGATTATATTGCATTGAACCAGTTCCATATCACTGTCCCCGCCCCTCAAAAAACAAAGCCATTAAATGTGTCACCATGATGAGTGGCTTTGTGGATGCAAGTCATCATTCTAGACTTGGATGAAGTTAACACCCAGAACAACAACAAATGACATTCAATGCCAAAAATGCTTGTGCTTCCACTGACACACACACACACCACTGTAGAGACTGTATAGGCTACGGACTAAGGCACTAATAATAAAAATAACACTATGAGCGCGCGCGCGCACACGCACACACACACACACACACACACACACACACACGAAAAATGTCCATTTTAAAGTTACGTCAAAGTATTTGTGCATCCATATAGATTTGATGATGCACTTGAAGCCATGCGCTGACCTGAACATACAGCCTACATGTAAGTTACAGTATGCTGTAACATAGGACATAAGGTAAGGCAAAAAGCCATTACAATCACATTTTGGTAAACAAAGGGCTCATCTATTGCAGGTAGTATATTCATAAAGCCATACCCTTCAGTTAAAAAAAAAAAAAAAAAAAATAGCTTTTTCAATTCATGTTGCAGAATTGTGCTTGATTTCTGCCGAGTCTGAAAGTTATTAAAATACGCAAAAACTATTAAAAAAGATGACGACGCAATATTTTGAGGTATTTCTCATTGTCAGCCGATCTAACAAATTTCAATTTATTTCACGGTAGAAGGGAAATTAAACATCTTTAATTATAATTGGTAATTTTCATTGATCGACACAGGACACCGACACTGCCCTCTACAGCACGATCCTTGTTATTGCATCAGATTAATTTCCCCAAAGTGTGATTAAAGACTTGGCGGTGTAAGATTTCTGCGACAAAAAAATGTAAAACATCCTTCGTAAATGAGTTCATGTAACTTCTCATGGCCATTAAAGACGCTTTCACACAACATGGGAACTTCTCAATGCGGGTAAACAATCATTTGTGAATGGAACATTTCATACGGTCACTCCCAATCGGGTCACATTCGGTTTGAGATCAGTCGAAGTAGCTGTGTTGTCGTACGAGGAGAAAGCCTTCGTTTTGAAGACTACGCGGAACTGTTCGCTTCCAACAAGTCTCACAGCAGAGGAGACATTTCAAGGGTTCGTCGGTTTGTGTGTTTGGTTTAGTTGTTGTCCTCGCGCAGTTCACTCGGCAGGAACTTGTACTGCTGCTGTCGGATCTGAGCCAACTTCTTGCGGGCTTCCTCTAGCTCACGCTCCTTCCTCAGCATCTCCTCCTGAGCAGCGATGATCTGAACGGAAGACAACCGAAGAATGACAGATCAAGAACCGGTTCTGACGAAGGTGAAATGATCGAACGTAATATATGGGAAGATTCAGAATTCAGAAAGAATTTAAGAACATGTAAAAATAGAAGAAAATAACCTATATATATAGATATATATATATTTTAAATCATGAAATCACTTCAATATTTACACTAAAACAGACCTGGGATATTTAATCGGGTGAGTGTCTGTTGTTATTTACCTGTGCAATCCCTCCCACGAACTTGGTCTTGACCACCACGTTGTCTTCGTCAGCTTTATCAAACGCTGCCTTCTGAGCGGCTCGAACCAGGTTGTCGGATGCCTTCTTGACTGCATTGCCAGCAATCTGGTTGGAAATCCAATGGGGCCGACATGTAAAACCACCAGGAGGTACAAAAAAATGTTGCACGGTAATATTCCATCATCAAAATAATCAGTAGTTGCAGCAAGTCAACGCAAACAAACTGCATGGTTGGCAGCTGGTATCGGGAAAAACGGATCTGAAATGCAGACCTGCAGTCTCCTCATGGCTTCAGAGTCTTGGTCAGCCTTGACCTTGCAGGCCACCAGCAGCTGTGCAGTGGAGGCGGCCACCTGCTTGGCTGACGAGATGAGCTTCTCCTCGCTGGCGTGGCCTTGCACGGACGCGTTGGCCGCTTCGCACAGGTTGCTCGTGGCCGCTGCCACCATACGTGCCTGAGTGAAGGCACACGATTTATCAGCCATCTCGTCAAATTGCGTCAGGCCGATCAAACGTCCGTCGTACTCACAGCCGAGATGAGCCCCTGGGACCACTGTCCGTCGTCTACGGCGTTGGCAGGAATGGAGCCCACTTTGCCCTGAGCCACCAGCTCCCTCTGGGCGGCCGAGGCGGATTTGACCAGGGCGCTGGTGGCGGCGGCGATGGACTTGGCCGCCTCCAGGATCTGCTCCTCAAAGTTCAACGTTTCGTCTGCCAACTGAAGTCAAAGAACAGCAACACATGCTCCCATTAAACTTCTATCACTTACTGTGTATACATGCATATTGTACATCGTGTACCGAGAACTTCTGAAGGCCCCTCATCCGTACCAGTCATACAGCAACATACCGGAATCAAATCGAACCAATCTGATCTTTTATTTTTATTTTTCCTCCCCCATCGACGAGCTTACAATTCAGCGTCGATGTCTTCATCCTAATTTGACTTTGAGTTGGTATAATTAAACACAATTAAACAACTTTTATTTCCCACCAAACTTTGTAGGAAGATGTTATCAAATTGCCTGTGTTAGCTTAAAAAAACAAAAACAAACATGTTACAAAGTCATTTTCTTCACTTCTCAGAGAATAATGCAACCGTTTTAAGTTATATTTTAGGCATTACAGGAAGGGGGAACTGATAATATTTGGGGAAACCCAAATTTCAATGACTCATTTCTTTTTTTTTGTTTGTTAGCCAACAGGGGCAGACCAAACAGTATAGTACATTTTAATGCTTTGTGTGATTTTTTTTTTTTGTGTATTTTAGTAATGATCGCTACCTTTCTTTTTTTTAAAATTATTTATTCCTTCATTTTTCATTCTACACGCCCACCAATTTTTTTTTAAGAACTTGAGTGTTTGAGAATTTTGTTCAGTATTATCATTACCATTATTATTTGAATTTTGGAGTTGTGCTTATTTTTAAAACGTTTTTAAAAAAATATATATTACCAATTATATTTTCCCTCTTAGTTTTTTCTTCATTTTCAAAAAAGTGACACATTTGGAACTCCCTTCCCTTGTCCCTGACACCCCCCGCCTCCAACTTTAATTGACATTTATTTTATTTTTACTTTTTAAATTGAAGTCATTTAAACTGCAGTTCTTTATAGATAAAAATATGCTTTCTTTTTTTTCAATTCATCTTAATAACAAAATAATTTTTGTGGCTGTTTTTGACATTTTCGCTATTTTTTTATTTGTGAATCATCCATCCATCTAAATTACAAGATTCTGACATGTGCTGAAGGTGAGTTGATGGAGGTCTGCACTCACGGCAAACCAATGTTGAAGAATCTGAGTGGCGCAGCGAGTGGCTGCAGGGGCTACTTATCATATTGCAATAAAGTGAAGTGTGCGGATGAATAACACACGTGACCGCTTGCGCACAAACACACAGACATACGCACATTCACGCACCACAAGTCTGTAGACAGAGCGGGACACTGTAGGAATATGTTTGATATATAGTTGGGACTGAATAACAACCTAATATATCAAACATATCAGACAGAGCCCTGCAGAGGAGGCCTCCTGATGCAGGGGCAGGCAAGGAAAGGGTTGGTGGGGGTTAAAGGTCAGGGATTGAGGGGATTAATTTGGTGATTTGCTGCGGATTGAAAAAGAGCATACTGCATGTATAAACGGCAAGGAGATTTCGCTCGGTAATCCACAGATGGAAGGATGGGGGAGGAGGAAGAAACAAGGCAGAAGGGAAAATGGCCAAATCTTGTGATGGATATTAAAAACCTTCGAACTAACGATTTGGGTATTTACAAAAGGCGGGGCTGATGTTTATAGATTGGCACGCATTGCTCCAGGATTTCTTTTTCTTTTTTCGGCCGGAACTAAGGGACCATACATACGGGGGCTGAGAAAATAATTCCTAAAAATATTTTAGAATATCAAAATCAGCGGTTTGGCAAATGGATGGAAATAAAATGCTGCAGAGGCTTGGGTGAGGCTACACAGATTTCGGATAGGGTTTTCGTACCCCCCAGCACTGGTGTAGTGAAATCCCTGTAGGTTGGGGGTGTACAGTATAGGGAATATCTCGACAGGGAAGAGACAACAACAGACAACATCCACAATTCCTGAAAATACCGAGAACTGATAATACTTGACCTTGCTCAACAGGCGCATTGGGAAGGACTTACGGTTGTTGTAAAAAATCAGGTGTGAAATTTCAAGAAAAAGTTAAAATGCACTATAACCTAGAAAGATGAACTTAATTTGACCTTCACTGGACTTTGGAATGAACATGTCCACCTGTTCAGTGTTTCAGTACTTTTTGCACAGCTTGCAGTTTGATAACAAGGAGCTGACCAGCAAAACTCACAGCAGGTGTTTGACCCCTGAATCAACCAATTCAAATTGTGGTTCAATAAAGATGTGATATTTAAACAGTCCTCTTCATCAATGCTGTTCACATTTTGATATCATGAAATCAAGACAACACCTAAATATTGATCGAACAGGATGTTCTCAAAGGGAAGTGAACACTGACCTTAATGTGTCTCAAGAAGTGGACATCATTAGAAAACAACAACAAAAAAACACCACTTGTGAATTTTGTCATTCAGCTCCTTGTTAGAGAACAGAAAGTTGTGCCAAAAGTACCAAAAACCTCTTACTGTCAAAAGTTTAGAGAAGATCACGTGTAAAGGTGCATTTTAGGATCATCCTGAAATTTCAACCCAAAGCCCGATATCCCTAACTTCTCGTGTGGTGTCTCACCTTGGGCTTGGCTCGAGGTTTGAGTTGCTCCAGCTTCTTTGCAGCCGCCTCAATGGACGCCGCTGCCCCGAGCAGTTCTGTCTCCGCAATCACTGTCGGATCCTCGGGGTCCACCCACTCAGATCCTGGATGGAGCCGTGAGAACATGCCGGTTACAAAGAGGCACTCGCGGAAAAAAGCTTCAACGCATCTCCGGATCATGCCTCACGACAACAGAGCATCGGCAGAGCCACACATTCGCCGTGTGCCATATTCACCACAACACACATAAAGTGATACGGGTGCCTAAAAACAAAGCGGGTTGGATGATGACGGCTCCGTGCAGCAGCTGGACTTAGAGATGAGGTGAAATGATTCAGTGTTAGCGGCCATAAGATGAGTGGGGAAGAAAAAAAAAAAAAAAAAAAAAGAAGTGTCAAGCATTGGGTGAAGTCAGTCACGGGACAGAGAACAATGCTAACTTACCCCCATCTGCGGCGACAAATCAAAACGAGGAAGACAGGAGGGTTAAAAAAATGTCTCAGGGAATAACTATTAATCATGTAGTCTGCAATAGAGAAGTGTGAATTTGGAAAACAACCACAACGTCTCTCATGAACATAAGTCCAAGGAGTGTTTCGGGTCACAGAGGAAAGGAGTAGAGTCAAGGGAATTTTACCAGAAGAAGCTGAAAGTGATGAGATAATGCATTTGATGAAGCAGCGTGTGGCTCATTGTCCAATGTTACCTTTGCACTTCCTATTCAAACTGTAAACAATGAGATGTCTTAATGGTTAGTGTGATTCTAACTGCAGCTGCCATGGTGGTCGGAGGGCGTACACTGCATTTTGTGCGTCTATACCAGGGGTGTCAAATTCATTTCACATGGTGGGCCACATACGGCCTCGGTAGATGTCAAGTGGGCCGGACCATTAAAATGATACTATGCTTTGCTATAAATAACCAAAACAATATGTCTTTCCTTTGTTTTGGTATAAAGAAGCACAAGAACATTAGGAAAATGTTGAAATTTAATGAACATATCTTTTACAAAACATTTCATGAAGCACCTTACATTTCCTTCGACAAATGTGCAATTTACTTTTATCATTCACATATATGCATTGCAACTGATCCCACTGATTGTACAAACTTTAACAAGTAATTGGTATTGAAAAATATAGTAATGCACTTTAAGATTAAACAAGATTCATAAAGAAAGCAAGTTTTAAAGCATTTACACGTGCATATAAAATCTAAATGTAATCCCTGCCTACACCTTACAAACTAAGGAGAGTGCTATTAAATGTGTAAATGTGAGAGTGCTATTGATAGCGTCTGCTGTCATGGGTCTGTCTCAGTGACAGACTGAGGCTGCTGTTGTCTTCTTCTCTGATCAAAACAGTGTCCCCTTGCGGATACTCAATGAATTGCACCTGATTAAAAATATTAATTCTGTGTCTTTAATGCATTTTTTTCACTTTTACATTATCCTGCGGGCCTGATTGAACCTACTTGCGGGCCGGTTCCGGCCCGCGGGCCGTATGTTTGACACCCCTGGTCTATACTCTATGCAAACTCTCCTCTTCTTTTTCAAGAATAAACTAGAAAAACGGCATTCATAATGTACACGTTTAAAATGTAGTCATAATTACTGTATACATGGAGAAAAAAATCAAAACAAAAATAAGGGTTGTTTTTTTTTGCTCACATTGAGGACTGAATGAAAAGGATTTTATTTCATTGCTCATCAAAGAAAACGAAACGCAGCTATCTCTTTTTAACTTAGCTTTTTTTTTCTTCGCCGAAAGACAATGAAAATCTTTGTTGTTTTGAAGGGAGCGAAACAACAAAAAAAAACTCATTGTGGTTTAGAGACACAGCAAAAATCGTTGCATTGTTTTCAAAAACACCTTGTGCTCATGTTTGGATACTTTCCCGCCCCCCCCCCAAGACATTTCGCCTTCATTCTCACAGTATTCAAAGTGTTCAATTTTTTTCTCAAGCTTACTAAATTGTCCTAAAAATTGGATTTATTTGAGCAACATATTGACTGTTATGTGTGTGCGTGAGGCTGATTACCTTTCATGGCCTCCGCAGACTGGATGAGTTCTGTGACCGCTCCGGCCACTCGTTTTGAACATCCAGCCAGCTGCTGCTTCTGCTCAGGAGTGGGCCTCTGCAACACCTATGCACACACACACACACACACACACAAAAGTAAATGACCATGACTATAAATACGCCAAAAGGGAGTGAGATCCAATCCAAGAGTTTCTTTAGAATTTCAGCCTATATAAATGTAACATTGCTCATTTTTGATTGACACTATCGGACACATTGGATGTAGCCAAGGCACATAACATTAACATTATGGGTATAAGATAGGGGCTGAGGTCAAAGGTAACACAAACAAGTGAGGTCAAATATCATTCCAAACAGGTGGAAAATACTGTATGTAAAAATGTAAAGAATTTGCAACACAGAAACCACCCACCATGAGAACTTGTTCAAGTAGATCGATGTACCCAGTGGTGCACTCTGATCCAAATCTCAGCGCCCTATTCTTCACTTCCTCATTGACGTCAGGATGATACGCCGCTTGCTGCAGAACACAACACAATCAACATCGCAGGGGCTAACGCTTTCAGGGTCGCTGGATAAACTCGAAAGAACCTTGCAGCTGGCAAGCATGTCGGAAATGGCCTTGCGGCTCAGGTTGGCCGTGTGGATGATGTCCTCCTGTCGGGCCGAATTGCCGGCGGCCACGGCTTTGGCGGTCGCCAAAGTGATGCCTTTGGTTATGCGGATGAACTCTTCGGGCGTGGTTGTTTTCCGTGGAGGGTCCCGGGACTGGAACAACTGCGGATGAGAGTTGACAGAGGGGGCAGAAGTCACTTGACAAGCCAAATGCACCAGACTTCATCTCACTTTTTACAAATGTCAACAAAATATATTTTTTAATGATTATTAGTTCAATGAAGTAAATGTAAAGTCTGCATAGCACAAAGCATATCAGTTTATTAATTTGTTCAATAATGATGACAGGCTTTGCAAAAAATCATAATGTAAATCAGTGTTTTTCAAACTTTTTTGAGCCAAGGCGCACTTCTTTCATTGAAAAAATCTCGCGGCACAACGTGTTGACGTGTTATATTGTTACTAATACCGTTTTTAACATTGCAGAATGACGTTATAACTGCTTGAATTGGAATCAAATGAACACAAAGAAAAAAGTATTTTATAATATTTCATATTTATTGTTTCACTGTCGTCCTGCATTCATGCGGCACAAATTCGGTATTTCTAGTGGTCGAAACACAAGGCAATTGGCTCGCTGCTCCCTAGCGGTATGGGAGGGTACGATTACTGCACGATTACTTTCTGGGCGATAGACCGCACAGGCATACAAATTGGATATTTTCCCGCGGCACACCTGACAATGTCCCGTGGCACAGGTTTGAAAAACACTGATGTAAATGACGGCAAGTACAGTAATGTAAGAAAACTATTTAGCTCATGAGTACAAAAATCCCCATCTAGTATAGGAAGTAAGAGGGAATGAGGTAATTATTATCAACAAAGGCTTGGATTAATCCTTCTACAAATGGTGCTTTGACCATGACCACTGGATTTAATCGGTCCGTCAGTCAGCCAATATTCTCTCACCGCCATTTCCTGTTTGATGCACTCGATGGTGGCCTCCAGCGCTCGGGTGCCTCGCGTGGCCTCGTCCTCCACGGCCTTTACCGTCTTCAGCAAGGACGTCACATTGGTCACCATCACCTGAAAGCAAAAGTTATCAAGCATTCATGGTCCTTGCACAGTAACCCTCTAAATCACAGGTGTCAAAGTCAAGGCCCGGGGGCCAGATCTGGCTCGCCACATCATTTTATGTGGCCCGCGAAAGCAAATAGAGCATGTCAAGTTCGATGATGCGTGTTAAAGTCTGAACTAAACATTTCAAATTGTCATATGTAATCCACAATAACAGTCATTATTCTTGACTTCTGATTTTGAAACTAGTTATCCATCAATTTTGTGTGTGCTGTGATTGTAATATGTGCATGGGATTAAACATTTATATGGTTTCCCAAAATTCATAACTGCACTCGAAGGGAAACCGTAACTACAATGTGGCCAACGACAAAAATAAGCTTGACGTACCAAACTAAAATGTATGGAGGTAACCCAAATGAGTAGAATAATGCAATAACTATGAATACGAATTTCTAGCAAACATCCAAGGGTGGTGATGCAACATTTACATAATTATCAACTTCTTTGTGCGCGAGCGAGTGAGCATGCTTGGTTTGTCAAGAAGGGTTGTAGTACCCTATTATGAACAATAGAAGGTGCACAAGATCTATATTGTACTTGTCTGTACACTAACAACCATAAAGGATTGTTTGACGATTTCCTTTCAACAAAGAGCACATTTTTTGGGGTTATTTACATTAGAAACATCACACAGTATTTGTTTATTGACCCCTGTGAATTAGTTACCATACAAAAGTGAGACAAAAGTAAGGTTGTGTTTGATTGATGCCATTCCCCCTCATTGGAGAAGAGAAGATTGGTGTGAGCATCACAGCAGTGGTATTTGATTGGCAGTTGGCATTTGAGTGGAACAGTTGATATTTCACACTTAATTAGTTTTTAATCATTTAAATTCTGCAGGGCTTTTTAGTAACACTCCTCTCTGTGGTATATCAAATTTTGAATATATACTGTATCTACCTGTATTTTTATTTTACATGGACTTTAACATTTAGAGTTTTGTACATTTAGTACTTGTGTCAGCCAGATGTCAACGAGTCCACGGTTTTGCCTCACTAGTAACATGTGGTCGTCCAACTCCAATGTCAAGTATACTTGTGAGGACAATGACATGGTCCATGTAAATCCTTAAACAGCTTTCTATACTACTTGTACTGTTTCGGCTTTTTTGTATTTTCACCTCCATTACCGCCACCTCTCGCCAAGGGTCAGCTGAGACTGAGTCTCGCTCATTCATGACCCTATTAATGAGGTCACCCGCTACAGAAAATGGATGGATGTAATGATGCCCGCACCTTGGCCGCGCCTTTCAGCTGGTACATGGACGGGTCGTCCGCCGCTTTACCGGAGGCACACTTGGTGGCACTGATGAGCTCTGCCAGTGCCTTGGCGACATCTTTGACAGCATTTATCAGAACCACCTTGAGTTAAAACAATCATTTCATGAGATGAGGCAATAAGTAAAGTGAAGTCATGTTGCTATGACACCGAAACTGACGGACCTGTGTCTCTGGATCATCGGAACCAATGCTGGCCGCGCCTAGTTTGACCACATCAGTGAGCTGGGTGATGGTTTTGGCAGATGACTGCGCGGCCTGCGCCAACTTGTCCTGACTGGAAGCGGCACCTGACACCAACATCTTTGTGTCCTCCACCAGAGCTTTGGCTGTCTTCAGAATGTTTTCTCTGAGAAAGAGAGAGTCATGGGAAAGGTTTGGAGGAAATATGTTAGCATTTATTAAGACAGCTTCATATCCTCCTCAGCATTGTAAATGGACAATCTAATGTCATTCATTTCAAGCGCTTCAGCCAAAATATTCTTTTCAATTAGCAACTGAATAAGATTTACTGAGCGGTAATTAATTACTCATACAAAGAGTATCTAATTTTTGTCTTACCATTTTGCTATTTTATTATTTTTTTTAACAGCTAAGTTTGTGTGAAGGAAAACCTCACTGCATAATGTAAAAAACATTTTTTTTACACTATTAATTTGAAGCTCCAGCATGCCCCGCGACCCTTGTGAGGATAAAACGGTTCAAAAAATGGATGGATGGATGAATAAAACTGACCGTCTTCATTTCAGTTCTGTGATAAGCACACAAATCTTTATGAGTACACAGACAAGCATCTACGATATAAGTAATTCTATCTCTGAATATCCAAAATAGACTCCTAAATACGATTAAATGTTGTGCTGATATATTCCTAGATAAGCTTTCCATTTCTGAACCAATTAAGAAATAAAATGAATGTAAAGTGAAAGATCAAAAACAGGAAACAGGATTTGTGTGTGTTTTCCACTTTCATGCCACTGGATGGACGTGATTGACAATTTCTCTCTCTCTCTCACACACACACACACACACACACACACACACACACACACACACACACACACACACACACACACACACACACACACACACACACACACAAAAAACGATTTCAATCTTGGATCATCTTTTCGGTCACAGCATCAAATAATAGCAGACTTTTGTCTCCTTTTGTTGTCAGGGTGAGAAAATCTTTTCGAGACGTCTTCAGAACAATGGAAGATGTGACACTTCATCTTTTAAAGCCTGAGGGTAATTTGCACTTTCTGACAGAAGAAAACATTTTGCCTCCCTTTTGTCTGCCAGCTACTAAGTCATTCTGTCAGCTTTGGATAACAGATAACCAGAAGCCACATTTTTAACTACAGACGTGAGAAATTCATGAAGGCGAACAGACAGATTTTGGCACTCCCACCTGTGGTCGGCAAAGGACTCATCATTCTCAGCGTTGAGCGTGCCAGCCGAGGCGAACATGATGGTGGTGTCCAGATCGGCGATGATGCCCGATACGGCGCTGGCCGCTGTGATGCAGGCCTGCGTGCCCTTGTTGCCTGCCTGAAGTGCCGACAGCACCAAGGACACCTGAGGACGCGTACACCATGATAACCTCGAATCATCCCGGGGACAATCGAAGACAGCATGTGTATGTTCAAAAGACAACAGTCAGAGTAATTCAACTTTTTTTTTTCTTACGGGTGTCTAAGATGTTTCCGCATGTGAGGAAAGCTCATGCAGGCGAGTCTAGTTAATACAGCATAACACCGGAAATTGCTTAAATTTTGTAAATTTCCAACCTCATTTGAATCGACTGATGATGGTACAAATGAGTTTAAAATCCAAACGCGGTCATGCTTGATCGATTGCTCTGTGACCAATGGAAGTATTAAGACAAATGCAAAGTACCGGTAATGTAATTTAATTCTAATAATAGACCAGATGACGTATAGTTTAGTTTGGCTCTTGGTAATCCAGTTAACAATAATACAAATCACACATGTAGCTCGAGAAAGCGTGAGTTCACTGGGGAATAACCAGTATGGGGTTATAAGGAATCAAATCGAATCACATGACTCAAAAAAAAAAAAAAAAAGCGTCGTCTTCATGACGCTGCTAACCTTCTCTGTGACGGTGCGCGCGCAGTCGATGAGCTCTCGCTTGGTGAAGCCGTCGGAGGGAGTGATCTGCAGCGCCCCGGCCTTCTGCACCAGGAAGATGCAGCCGTGGCCCAGCTCTTGCACTCGGGTCTTGATCTGGAAGCCGATCTGGGGAAGACAAAATAGAGAAGTTGCTCATGACAGCCCTCGTGCGTTGCTTTTTGATATGCGCGGGGGTCACCGTTCGCACCTCTTCTGGCTCGGCCGTGTGGGCGGCCATCCGTCCGTCGACGGCCAGTTGGCTGAAGTCGACCGTTACCTGAGAGGCCAGACCTCCGAGCTCGTCCGGACATGTCACCGATTTAGTCATCTGAATCATAACACAGCAAACCATTCCATAGCATTTTCTTAAAATGTTACAATGTGTAACATTTGAAAGTGTACTGCGGTGTACCATTTCCTGAGCCGTGACTGCAATAGCTTTGGAGTGCTTCACCATACTGGTCTGGTAATCCACGAATGAGCCCTCGGGCTCAGGTGGTGTTCCCTCATCCAGCTGAATAAACAAGAAACATTCAGTTTGCTTTTCAAAAAAGGATGCATTTTGGAATATGACAAAACTAAAACCACAAATGACATCAAATGCGAATAATATAATGCGTTTATGATACTCAACTGCAGATGAAATAGACATCTATTAAGGAGGAAGGACTATATCTGCACACATTTTTGCAGGAATATTAAACAATATTACTGAGATGAACTCTATATAGTCATAGTTTGGCATTTTCACCTATATGTGATTATTTTTTTTAGGGGGAACCTATCCTGAAAAAATGACCGACAAGATTTGCTGTGCTGTTTTTGTGCTCAGACCAAGGGAATAAATTTATTGTTTATATCTAATAAACCTATATCAAAGTGGATTTACCTTGGCCATGGCCTCCGCAATGGAATCCACCATGCCGCCGACCATTCCAACTTCACTGGCAGCCTCGTTCAGCGTCACCATGATGTCATCCACCGCCTCCTTCATTAACTGGGAGGCCTCGGCGATGGCGTCGTGCGTGTGGCACGCCTGACAGTTGTCACGACAATGCACAATCACACGCAGGCCACGAAGCTAAAGTAGGCCTCTGTTGTCTTGTAATTACATTTTGTTCATCCGGATAAAACAGTTCCGAATGCAAAGGAAGCGGCAGATGTACTCCTCTTTTTGTCATAATTTCCAGCATTTGTGTATTGTAGATATTTGCCTTTCTAATCAATTTGTTACATTGTAAAGAGACTTTATGGACACGCTGAATTGTTAGTAGGCCGATCAAACTAGCTTAAGGCAAAACCAACAACTACTACGACAACAAATATGCATGGCGGAAGACAAAAACCACCAAAGATATGACCTTGCGGTTTCCTCCCCCCTCCTTGGCGGCGTACAGCATCTGCAGGGCAGACTCGGCCAGGGTCTTGGTCTGATCCAGGAAGGTCATCTGCTGCTGGTGGTCCTTCAGCTTGGATGCCACGCCCACTGCTGCCCTGATCAGTGGGTCAAAGTAGCCGGCCAGCTGGCTCACCTGAGGTCAAAACACACATCAGTTGTGTGTGGCGTATGATTTCAGACAAAAAAAAAAAAAATCATAATTTTGTCATGGCGATGTCTCAAAACACAGAACTCAACAGTTCACACACAACTCAGCTTGGTCTGATGCCATCTCCATACTCCTAATAGCCACTAGGGGGCATACCTGCACGGCATCTAGGGATACTTGCGATGATGGTGTGATGTATTTTGCGTCGTTTGATATCTTACCACTATGCCACATTATGAATGAAAGCGCACAGTGAATAAATTCTCAAAATGGCCAGTCAGCGGTTTACGCAATTATTCAAATAATGGACGAATATGCTCTTCTCTATGTGTCTGGTAAGGCAAAACAAATGACTGGCCTTAAAGTCGTTTGAGAGCTTATTTGTAGCACACTAGTAGGATATTGAATTCATTCTCAAACGTCCTTCCACCAATCCCAAAGAATTGTTTTACTGGTGAGATTAAGACAATTTTAGTGTCAAGTACATTACTGGAAAACTGTGTGCTTTTCCCTAAGCTTCGACATACAGTATATGTATACAGAAATATTTGAAGCATAAATTGAAACGCAAAAGAGAGCAAAGCATCCCTTAAACACACAGGAACTGCTGTAGGCCACAGCTCACGTGCAGACAC